TAGTATGACAAGTATTATTAGTACTACTAGTATTAGTAGTATTACTAGTATTGCCAGTACTATTGCCACAGCCACGGCCACTGCCACGGTCACTGCCGCTGCTCCTGCTCCTGCTACTGCTACTGCTACCGCTCCTGCTGCGAATGTTTGTGAAGCTGTTGCTCTTGTCACTGCTGCTACAGCATTACACCTTTATGGCATGAAGGTGTGTATAGTATGTGCTCGAACGAGATCCCCAAATCTCTGACATGCATCTGGAATCCAGCACTTCTTGGGCAACGAGATAAGGGCCCGCAGTAAGCACGCGCTCTTTAGCCGAAAACCAACGTCGCTGTATGTATGTATGTATGTATGTATGTGAATGTATCAACGCATGGGTTGGGCCCCGTTCACGTGTTTTTCCGCATGGTACACGGTAAGCTCAAACACGGTTTCCATTCGTCAGCCAAGGCCCTTGCCTGGAATTCGCCCGATCAGAGTCTTGCTTGCATTTGCTGCCATGCTGACTGTTCAAGCAAAGCTGGACAAAAAGTCCAGCACGGAGCTGCTTTGGAAGTAGTTCCAGATTGCACGAGACCCGGAAACCTCAGGAGTGGCGGTGCTATCGCAGACTCGCTCATTTGCGGCAAGGTTTGCACGACCCCGTCAAGGAGGGCTGACATCGAACAGCATTTTGCGATCTTGCGACTTTGCGCGGCGTGCTCCTCTGCACCACCACGAGATCCGACGAATGCACGCAGGAGATTTTGGGTTCCGGTTACGAGAGCTTCTCGTCCACACCCTTCGCCGGGATTGGCGGGCGCAGTGGGACAACTGCACGACTCAGAAGCTGGTGCCCCATCCTCAGCTGGTGCATTCGGCAGTGTCAGCAGTATGGTCGCATGTGCTTGAACACAATGCAGACAATTCCACGGATTGGCTGCAGGTCAAACTTTGTGCCGGTGCATTAACGATGCTCAAGCACCTCCTCTTGCAGTCCATCCCTCGGAACGTCACAACATGCGCACATTTTGTGAACATCAAGTGCATGCTGGGGTTAAGCCTCACCGGTTTGCAGGTGTCGGTCACTTTGCAGCTCCTGGCTGCTCCGACGAAGGCTTTGATGTGGTAGCTAAAGCGTGACAATCCGCGGTTCCTGCAAGCTCGGCATAGTTGTCTCGTTCTAAGTTCAATGCTACGGGATGAGTCGGTGCTTCCGTACAGACCGACTTATCCTGGTTTCTGGTGCTGTCCTGCAGTGGGAGGATGTTGCGATGATCGCATTGGCCCGCACCTGCGCCGAGGACATATATGGTTCACTTGCAAGTTAAACACCACAGTCCACAGTCCATGCTTACATAACTCCTCCGTGGATCTGCATGGCACCGGCCTGTTGACGGAAAGAGTTGAGCATTGGACAGGATGACCCTCGTGACCTGGGCGATATCTCCAATGCTGAGGGCTCAGTCACAGATTGCCGTCAGGTTAGCTTTCTGCACAGAACCTGTCGTGCCCCAAGGTTTGAATGCTTGCAGTTTTTTCAGCGCTCCGGAAGTGAGACTGCACATGCAGACTGTGCTAAAAGCACGCTGATGGTCGATCGGACCCTCCTGATGCATCGCAATTGCAGTGCCTGCGCATCCGGCATTTTCGAACGAAATTGCACTTGCGCTCGGAAAGCTGCGGCTCTGAACTCGAAAAGGATGTGGAACATCCTAGAATCAAAAACCTCGGGCAGCTGCGAAAGATGCAAGCGCCACAGTATAACGATTGCGGCCGCGATGAAGTACAAGTAGGAAGCTAATTAAGAGCAGCCGCCGTCGAAATAGGCGTCCGGGGAGAAGCAACAGGTCTACAGCGGCGGTAGATAAGACTGTATTGGGATTGTTGCAACTATAGCCAGGTCCTGGTGATTTGAACGATAGGCACACTGTGGCACCACTTTGTATGAAGGCGCATCATGAGTTGCTTCATCCTTGGCGGTCTGAGCCTCAAAGCCTTTTCACCCCAAACTCCAAAGCCGAAATCATCACGACATCATACCGCTGAGATACGCCAAAACCGTAATGACCCTTACCCCAGAACTGCTGGGTTCCCACACTCTACACCCCTCTTCTAAACCCTAAGTCCTCAACCTGAACCCTCTTTCAAGAAGCAAAAGCCACAAGCTTGAAGGCAAATTTAATCACCGACTGTAGGTCCTGGGTCAGCTTCGAGTCACGGTCTGAGATGTCCTCTTTTACGGCACATTTCGCAGAAGCAGACGAAACATTTGGCACTAGATTGAAGGTGGTTTGGGCTTCAGGGGAAGATGCGTTGGGTTGGGCTGTTGTATGGTATTGTTGCTTGTCGCCAAGGCTCAAACGATGTGTGCCTTCATGTCTAGGCCATAGTTTCATAATGCAGTATGCAAGGGCATGTCTTGTTACCCTACACTGTTTTCAGTGTTCTGATGGTTTGAGCAACGAAGACGCCGAGGATATTTCTGTCGACCGTTCTTTTGCTCTAAGCTGCTGCTACTGTTATCATTTCCGCTGTGCTTTCGTCCACTACCTGCCACAGAGTACATGGAAGCCGAGGCCCCGCCCAAGCTTCCTGGCAGCGGTGCCAGCTCCAGAGGAGACTTGGAGAAGAAAGTTGTGCACTCGCCGTGGTAAGAATGATCGTAGCGTTTGACGGGTAGCACTGCTGTCACCAAATGCCGGCAGGTTTGATGACAAGAAGCATAGGATTGGAAATAATTCAGCAGAAGGAATGCTCAAGGACTCGAACGGGTGCAAGTTTACGAGCATGTCGGCTTGTTGGCTGGACGGGTAAGCCGCGGGCTTCGAATCAAAGCTCGATACGGGCACTTCGGGTCTTTCTGCTCGTCTGCAACCTCGGCATGTGCATCTTGGGCGTAGCGATTCGCACATCAAGCCTAGTTACACGGAGCAGGGGTGAGCGCAGAGCCGCATGCTTCCAAGTTCCAAGATCTTGTGAGTGCCACCGTTCGGCCACTGCTAGGAGAAAGGATCAACGACGGACTGCAAAGGAAGCTTAAATCTTGAAGCCTTTGCCACATTAGTCCCCAGGGTCAACAAGCAGTGGGAGGAGAGCGTGATATTCTTCTGGCCCTGTTTCACGGGGGGGGCTGAGGAGGGAGAGGTGGGCCTTTGGCCTTTGCATTACGCTTGACCAACGGCCAGGTGAACAACGAGAACACAGTAACAACGCCTTTTCCAATGGACCTCCTTCGCCCACGACGTTTGCTGCAGGATTTTTTGGCTGATGCAGCCACTCGGGTGAAGCTCGTTCTTCGGGTGACATCCTTGGTGTGGAACTTAGACTCTCGTGGCAGCAATCGCTACAGCGCAGCGATAGGATCGTAAGTTCGTGACTGCAAGGTTCGCCTTGTGGATGCCTCTGTCATGTTGGAAGTGTGGGCTCCACAGTCCTACCTGTTCGAGGCATAGGCAATAAAGCTGGCTGCCTGCCCTTCATGATATAGGGATGCCCTGCTCCAGCATCAGCAAACTTTGAGCGTTGAAAAGCAGCACACTGCAGGCTAGTTCTATCCACCTCCATCGTTGACCAGACTACTGGAAGCATTTGTGCAGTTCTGTCTGTCGGCTTCTGCAATCTATCATGATAGCAGTCTCTCTGCAGGCAGGTTGCTTCAGCAACATTTCCACGCCATCTACACTGCCGTTTGCACAGACCTGCAACTCCTTTGGGCGCTTGGCACAGGTTGGAGAACGTGTTGATCCGGAGACACAGCCCAAAGCAACCTGATAGAGCCTGAGACACGTGCAGGTCACCGGAACGCTTGCCGATGTCATGTTATGGGAGCTCGAGCCTTTGGATCCTGCGGGGCATTGTGATTGTGACGCTCCGGTTGTTGGTTTGCAGAGGCACTGGGGAGAGTTCTCAAAAGAGTGGAGGCCCGATGTCAGCTACGAGCTCAACCTTCACTTGGCCCAAAATGGAGATCTCGCCAGTAACGCAGACAACAGCGGCGTGGCGACACTTTGTGCGCGGTCTCGTGACCAGAGCTCAAAACTGAACAGGCCTGTTCGTTCTGCAGGCTGGATGGCACAGCTTTGGCAGCAACTTCCGCCGTCGAATCTTTCAGACACGAACCTTGGCTTCCAGCCCAGTTGTCAAGCATAGAAGGAAACTGACGACCCTTGCTTGGGCTCTGGCGTGCCTTGCATGTCCTTCAGCTAATGCAAGGATGCAGCACACTTGTAGCTTCGCGCTCCGTTTGAGACCTGGCTCTGGGTCTTCCAAGCGCCATTTCGCATTTCCGTGTCAGGAGTGCAGACACGCCGCTCGGCGTTGGGCCTGCAATAGTTGTGAGAGACTCGACTTAAACTGCTTAGACCCGTGTGGCAAGGGTGCAAGGCATGCCTCGTTTGCTGTGACTCCTAGGAGATGCTGCCGTGTGGCAGCCTGGGGCTTCCGGAGCTGAATCACAGATCTTGCGCACGGATGTTACTTGCAAGCAGACACCGAGATGCGCATTCTTCGTCTTGGGCGTAGCAACCTCTTGGAAGGACCGCTTGCTCGTGATTGACACAACTTGGCTGGAAGCAAAGGGCCTATTTGTTGGTCCCTCCGAAGCCGCGACTTGACTGTACAGATTGTCTGGAGACTCACAGAATTGACGGACTTGCTGCTTGGGCTTGCAGCGTCTAGCACACTATCATGTAGCAGTTGAATCGTCAAGTCCATGAGAAGTCACACTTCGAGCCTGGTAAGGCTGTGCTTCTGGCAGACGGGCGATTTGGGAAGACGGCAGCAGCTGCATTGCGCAACGCTCCAGCAGACGACCGCCCACGACCAATGTCAAGAACTGACTTGAAGGCCAGTGCTGTGGTCCGTTCTGTCACAGCCACGAGTACAGACCTGCGAAGCCTTGACGGCTCGTGCACTGACACCAGGAGCTTGTATACAAGACGGACATCGGCGGCTACCGAGTTGAAGGCTGCGCAGCACTCTCTTGTGTCACCTTTTGCATCATAAGAAGCTCCAGCATTTGAAGAAGTTTGGGAAATGTAGCAAAAGCCTTTGTTGCAATACCAAGAGTGTCCAACACCAGTGGCCCAATCAGCCCCCGCTCTGCGACTCTAGAGGCTCATAGAATGCAATTGATGGTCCTTGTTACCACCGTATTTTGTTGATAGACATGTAAGTATATATACACGTGTATTGTACATATAATATGTATACATCATTCTAGTCGATTCGATTCTATGATTTAGTAATCCAAGAATCCTTCCTGTTGCTGTTGGGCTTTTTCGTGCCGATTCAGGGGCCACAGCAGCTTTTGCCGTCGGCTCGCGTTACCCACAGGAGACTCTGATGCAATTTCTGGCTCTTGCCGATAACTTTCTCCTTGGGGATGGATGGACGGATGGATCGATGGATGGATGGGGTGCATCCGAAGGATGTCAACTTTCACTGTGTGCACGGGACACAAAAACATGCTCAAATTAATTAGAGAAGTCATCTGCAGTCATGTCTGTGTGCTTGCTGGATAAGCACGCGCCCATCGATGACCTGTAGAAGCGGGCACTTGGATCTCTTGCTCCACATAACGGGCAAATTGGCATGAATCATCCTACGTACAGGAGCGTGTTCAAACGCAGCCTCATGTTCCGACTGCTCATTAAGAGTTGGAGGGTCTAGCGTCAGGAGCCAAAGTTCAGCGGTAGGGTTTGGAGCATCCTGTTCGGCATGTTTTCGTGCAGAACATAAGGACTGGACATCATTTGTTGCAGGCATCAGGGCTGCAACAAGCACCACCAGTTCAGCTGCATCTTTCCACAGACTGCTTCATGGCCCAGCTCTTGCGTCCATGTCTCCAGACTTCCAGAACTCTGAACCCCAAACCACAAGCTTCAAGCCCAGGTCTTCAGCTTGGGTTTTCCACTCCGCTTCGACTGGCGAGCCTTCGCATTTCTGCTCCGCCTCATTTCCTCTTCTCCTGCGAGCAGCCACTCGCCTCTGGCAGGGGCAGACCGGTATACATATACGCAGAAACGCTCATGCTGCTGACTTGTCTGGTTGTGGCCGCGGTAGAATCAGTAGAAAGGTCTCCGTGTCATGGAGGTTGTATGACGTTGTAGCATCCCAGGCTGGAGACTGGAAACACCCGACTCGCCGCAGCTTCGGCAGCTTTGCCCTGTCGAGTGGTGGCGAGACTTGTCTGCCTGTGGATGCCTGGAGCGACCGAAGCTTTCAGGCTCAATGACGCGTCCTGGTAGTATGAATAAGCTTAAGTCTCATAGTATATCCCGTATAGTATAGCCCATGTCGCACAGAACCCACTAGTGGCCCTCCTCCTGTGACTCCCCCGTCGCTCCAGTCGTTCTGAGGAGCCCATTCGAGTCGGCGCTGTTTCTGCAGGGAGCGGAGCCCGGCGGGCCGAATGGCTACGCAGCAGGCAAGGGCTACTATCAGCGCTCGAGTGTAAGGCTTATGCCAGAATTGTTACAGCATAAGGGCTGTAGTATGGGGCTTCTACTGCAAGGTGACAGTATAAAGATTATGCTGCAAGGTTCACTACGGAAACATTTTATGTATTCCTGCAGCAGACATGTACTTGCAGCTGTGTCAGCGAAAGAGGCTGAAGCTTCCTTGCCCTCGCAGGCATGCACTGGTGGTTTGGAGGATTGGTTCGACTGGAGTTTCAATCCGGCTGGCCAGAGGAGCGACAGCAGTGGGAGGTGGAGTTATCGGATGAGAATGGCTTCTCAGATCAACTGGTTTTCCAAGGAAACTGCGCCGCATGCTCCACTGGCCACCACCGGCTCACTCGTACAATCTTCCAACCGTTAGAGATCCCAACTTTCAGGTGATCTTCGCGTCCGTGCGTCGCCCCAGACTGCTCCAGATATGGCGGAGTCCTGGCTTCTCCAGGCAGAGCTCCTTCCGCGATTCACAGGCACGTGGGGTCAACCAGTCAACCATGAAATTACTGCATCGCTGTAGTGGCACCAGTCGAGTGCGCCTTTTTCAGGGTTCTCGCGGTTCCATTCGGTTCGGTTAGGTTCGCGCAAACCGGTTGGAACCGATTGAGCGGTTCATGCGGTTCGGTTCGCCCGCGGTTCGGTTCGCGGTTCCTCGCGGTTCGCAGCCCCATAAGTAAAGACCACCCACAAGATCATTTAAACCGTCCAAACCGCAGTCTGCTTTCGTCTCGCCTACATGTTCGAACGCCCTCTGCATCCTCTTCGACAAGATGGTGACTGACTGACGCCCACGGAGGACAGCGGCGGTTTGTGCTGTGTAGCGTCGTGCTTACTTGGGATCTTTCAGACTTCTCAAAATCAAATGCCAGTGACTTGGGCGGGACTTGGCTCATCATTTTGGAGTTTTCAGGCCCCGAAAGCTCCAAAATGCTGAGCCAAGTGATTTCGCTCATCATTTTTGGAGTTTTCAGGCCCGAAAACCATCCAAAATGCTGAGCCAAGGGGTCGCCACAGGACTTGGCTCATCACTTTGGAGTTTTCAGGCCCCTGCCCAAATCCGCTTATGAGGCGGCCGCCCACCCACAGAACTACCCGGCCATAGCTCAGTGGGTGAGCGGATGCCTCACAGGCCCTCTTGGAGAAGTTGCGGGCTCAATCCGGAATTGTCATGTGGGCCCTTTCCCTACCCGGAATAGAGATTTTGGGGTGACCAAAGGCTTTGGGCTCTCGGGGGGCTCTGGGTGGACATCCGGCTCGAGCTGGAAGCTGCTCTCGTTCCCCGCAAACCCAACCCAAACCTTGAACCGTAGATCGTGAGTCCATGAAGCCATTCAAACCCCAAAGAAGTAGAAGTAGAAAGTAGCAGTAGTCGTAGTCGTAGTAGTAGTAGAAGTAGCAGCAGTGCAAATAAAGATCGCGGTTCGGTTCGGTTTGCAGACTTGGGTTCGTCGCGGTTCGGTTCCTGCGGTCCGGTTCGGTTCCACGGGCTTTTTTCTGGTGAGGGGAGTTGCAGCATGTTGCCAGCAGGTGTTCTAGCCCGCCACAGTTTCATTTACTCGAACGTAGGCTGCGACCATGCACTCTTGCAGGTACCGGGGAAACCACCCTCGTGGACCTAACGTTCGAGACTCGTTTCTTCGATCCATTGGACGGCGCCACGCTTCCGTCGCAGGACTCGGAGAATGCTTCTGAAGCAGTTGCAGGGACCTGTGACTGTGATGCCATGTACACCGAGCATGTCAGATTGTGAAGGACATTTGGAATGCCACTGAAGAGCACCTGCAGCTGATCGTCCGGGCACCACGCAATGTGCCCTTCGATCGCGCACAGTTCGCCGAAGGCTATCACTGCCTGCCTTTTGATGTTCTCATTGGGTTTGCAGCATCCGGTTGCAGGCACTTGCATTGAAGCGGGCGACAGCGTCTTCTTCCCTGATGACACTTACTTGGGCCGGCCGCCTGCTGCTTGCACTCGACTTCGCCTCAGTCGACGGCAGCAGGCCAGGAGCCACTCGCCAGTGAACCCTTGAAATCACTGCAAACTTCTTCGAATCCGCGTTGCAGGATTTAGTGGAGGTGCCTGCCACCAATGTGGCACCAAGGAGGTTCCAAGGTCGGGTGCGCATGGCGCTAACCCTGACGCCGTGTCCGCTTTAAAGTTTGAGCTGCTCAGCCCCTTTGTACAATCGCGAGAAGTCCGACTCTTTGTGCGTGTTGAGCGGTGTGCTGGGGTTGCTCGCTTGTTTCGCTGTTTGTAGCGGTCGGTCGGTGTCTCTGTCTGTGTCTGTGTGTGTGTGTGTGTGTGTGTCTTCGCTTGTTTCTTTCGGCTCTCAGCGTGTCTGTGCAATCTGCTCCCATTCCGCAGCGTGCGTAGACATCCCGTCTGTCACCATGTCATTTGTTCTCGTTTGGTTTTTAGGGCCATTCGGCCTTGTCCGCTAATTTGCGCTGGCAATTCGAGCAATGACGATACGACGATACCGGTACCAGTAGCACGGGCTCTAGGTCTGCAGGTATCAATATCTGCCATGGTTGTTGAATCCTTTTCTTTCCTGCTGTTCTATTCCTATCTGCTTCAATCGACACGGACAAGGCCGAATGGCCGTAAAAGCGCAATGAGGGTGGTGACAGAAGGGATGTCTAAGCGCACTGCTGAACGTGAGCAGATTTGAAACATGGCTTGAAGAGTCGTCATACACGAGCCGGGAGGAGCAACCACTCTTCGTACGTGATGCTGGTTTAGCTGCCCAGCTGGCAGCAGGTCAGGTTGGCACAGAACAGGCACTGGCACCGAGAGCTCAGGCGGGCAGGCTGCAGAGCGCGGTGCTAGCTGCTAGAGATTCGACATGTGTTGCTGCAATTGAACAAGACATGCAACTACATGAGAGAGTGTCAGACTAAGACTTGCATTCGTGAAGCCGATATGTGCCGTGCCAACTTGGGCTTTTGCAGGTTCGTTGCAGACTTATGTACCTCCCACTTAAGGTTCAGCATACTGTATCTGTATACGCTTTTGTATGTGTATATATATATATATGTGTACACAAAGATTTGTACGTATACATATACATATACACATACACATATGTATATATATATATATATACATATATATATATATATATATATGTATACATACATATATATATATATATGATTATGTATATTAACATGTATAACGTGCATATCTACACATATACATATGCATGCATATATACAGACATATACAGATACACATGCACCTGGACATACATACAACCGTTAATATTTACGTACATACATGTACACATGCATATAACATACACATCCATCAGTATATCTACTTGCACATACATGCATGCATACGTACATATAGACAGACGGATTACAAGTGTAGCGCCATGTATGCATGTATATATCAAACACATGTGTACATAAGTGTCTTAGCAGCTCAGAGAAAGACCGCTGGTAAATGGGGTTGGGCATAAAACTCCCGACAACCGCGCGGTTCTCCAAAAAGACTGACAGGCCGACGTAAGACAACACGAAAGCAGCAGGCGCAGTTTTTCAACTTCAGCCTCTGTC